GCCTTTTTTTTTATTCAGCCTGCCGAACAAACTGCCTGTGTGTACCAAGCTTTACACTGCAACATGTTAAAGGAAACCTGTTGTCACGCGCCTCGGTTGGAGGCCAAGCTGACGAGAGGGCTTCCCTTGCAGCTCTGGTCTGAGCATCCCTGAAGGTGGTGACAGAGGTACAAGGCTCATAGAAGCATGGGTGCCTGTAGTTTGGTGGCAGTTGATCACCAGGGCCAAAGACATCATCAGGGTGAGCCAGGGTCATACACAGTGAGGCTGAAGCATGGTCAGGTAGCAAGCTGAGGTTGATACCAGGGAAGCAGGCAGAGTGAGGTCCAGTAGCAGGCCAAGGTCAGCACCAGGCAAACAGGCAGAGAGTAGTCAGAGGCAAGCTGAGGTCGGTATCCAAATTTCACAGAGCAAGGTCAGGAACTAGCCGGGTCTGCAATGGGATAAGCTGAAGCACAGGTCTTGAGGAAGCTGAAGAACATCCAGCAAGTAGCACATACCAGGGTTTCAGTTTGGTGCCTCTGCACATGGACACAGATGTGCCTACGTGTCAGTGCACACTGGATATTAGCCCTAGCTTGTCTGTGTGCTGGTACATGTGCATGAACAGTAGCTACACAGGAATGAGCATTAGTATTAGCTGTGCGGGTATTGGTCCTCTGAAATCTGTTGATAGACAATATGAAAGCTCTAGTTTTCCAGTATTTTTATAACTGTACTCTGCCTGCGTTTGCATGAATTTATATGTTCATTGAAGTCCTTTGTGTCCTACATTTCCCCATTTTTAGTTTCAGGTATACAGTTTTCCACATACAATCAGGGATACATTAAAGTTTAGTTGGCCTAACTAAACTAGCCACCCACAATAGTGGAACTATTTTCCATTTTCAATAAAGCTGGATAAACTGCAGGAACCCATGGCATCTAGTTGAATTTCAGTTTATAGGTTGGTTATTCAGTTTCAGTAATCATTTATCAGATACTTCCACAAGACAAGCCTACGTTTTTGAGAAAATATTTTGTAGGTATTTTTCAGTGGATTATGTTAAGTGAGGCGAACATGGAAGTCTCCTGTCAGATACTTTTGGAATTGTGTTTTATTTTGCTGTCATGTTAAGCCATACCCATATAATCTACCTACCTGTTTGCTAGAGCCTTAAGGTCCTATCTCTTATGTGCTCAAGTTGCTATGACAAAACTGAGAGGCTAGTTTCACACTTAGTGGAACACTGCAACAATAAAAGCAGGGCTGGGTAGTCTACAGCAGCTTTTCTCAACCAGGGTGCCTTGAGGTTTCTTCAGGGGTGCCTTGGCAAAATGTCTACAAATTTCCCAAAACTTGTATACAAGCCAGCGGGTGGAACAAGCCTGCCTTTTAGTTACAGAAAGTCACAGGTTTTCATTGTGCACCATTATGACCTTCTAGCCACCAGTGTCCTGACAAACAATGACATCATCAGTTGATAAGGAGGATTTCACCCTCCCCTTCCCCGCTCCATCAGTGCTGGGGTCACATTAGCTCAGTGATGGTGAAAAAAAAGGAGGGAGAAGAGAAACATTGGAATACTGGTCAGTACCAGTGTGCAAAAGTGTATTTGCTTTGGAAGAATATTTCACCTCTAATGTTGGGTGTCCTACGTGTGTGGATGTTGCTGTGTTATATAGAATGGGGTGCCTCAAGACTGTCCATAATTTTAAAGGGTGCCTTGACTGAAAAAAGTTTGAGAAACACTGGTCTACAGTATCCCATCCACATTATAAACATAATAATATACATAGAACAGGGGCGGACTGACAATTTGGAAACTCGGGCACTGCCCGAGGGCCTGGGTCAGTAGGGGGCTCCATGAGATGACCCTGGTACCTTTTTCATAGGCTTTTTTGAGTTTGGGCAAGGACACAAGGGCCCCATGATCCCCTATTGCCTGGGGGCCCCATGAGTTGTCAGTCTACCCCTGACATTTGAGATGCATTCGCTTTATCATACCTTTACATTGTCTTGTATGGAATGGTAAAATGTGAGGTAATGTACACTAGCCTCAAATCAGTATGGTTCCTCTGGAGTTCACCAGACTCCATGTTTTAGGGAGAAAATGTATAGGTCTGCTTCTATGGTCTGTAGCCTTTTTGGGAAGCGCTATGTTTAGATACTGATTTCGTATGTTGACAGCATGGATGTAATATGTGGGAGTATGTGGCAAATCTGCCAAAAGGAACCCAAGAATGTGGGATCCCAGTGAATGATATGTTAAATATGTAGTTATTGAATGGCAAATATGAAACATGTATCTTACAGAAACCCTGCTTTATTTTAACAGTAGCCAGATCACAGTTGGACAAGGGTTATATGACTGAAGGTTTAGAAGCATTGAACTTTATGTAAATTTTGTATTTTTCAGCTAAATAACATTCCGTGATGCTGGGTGGAGGTTTGATTCCAACAAATACAGTACATTATTCCTTTGAACCTGTTGCGGTTCTGTCTAACCATTTGTGTTAACATTTTCATAGTATAACTGCAATGGTGGTCCAAAGCTAGCTTACATATCCTTATGCGCTCAAACTTAACTTAAATTTGCATCTTGCATGTGAGTTTCTAATTTCCACCTGTTGATTAATATATGTCAAAATCCTATTTTGCTCCATCGTTTGAAAATCACTTTAAGCTGTGCTGAAAGATCTTATTAATACTACATTATGCTCAGAGGACTCTATGTGCTAAAATCTCATTCCATTTTGTTCAAGATATTATCTTCTTCAATAGGCTTAAACAATTGCATCCAAGTGACCCACATTACATATGAATTAATTCTGTAATTTAAAAGGCCACTATTTCCTCTCCCTTCCTGCTGATAAGAGAATGATGTAAAGGAAATTTTCTGGAATTGCTTGTAGTGTTTTACCCTTGGGTGCTTTTTCTTTAAATGAGCAACTACCACTAGACTTTAATATTGTACAGTTTAAAACGTCAACCGATGGTGTTCTTGTAAGAAAAAGATTTATAGGGAGGGCCTTGCCTACCAATGCATGTGTGAAAGCAAAACAGCAAGGACATTTGCCTGGGGCCCAAGTTTCCTGGAGTCAGCAAGGCACAGATATTAATGTTTGTCACCATGGTGTCTGCGGCTTGTCTGTGATGTTTACTGTTATTGATATATTGGTTGTCTTTACTGTGACTAATATAAAGCTAAGTGTGACACTGAGATATGCTTAACAGCACAACAAAATGTGGGAAGGAAATATTTGCTCGGAATAAAATGCATTCATTTCACATACATTTCTAATTTTTAAGAGCCCATCCAAACTCCAGCTCATGTTGCTGCTCAGAATTCAGAAGGTAATCTTAGCAGTGTTTTGTTTTTGGGAGTTTTAAACGTAACCCTGAAAGCTGTTTAGTCTACATTTTTCACTGCTACCGACATGGAAAAAAAATCTATTTGAAATATATTTTAAAAATATTCTTCCCAAATATATTGACATATATTTGAAATATTACAATTTTGGTCATATTCTAAATATATATATATATATATATATATATATATATATATATATATATATATATATATATATACTGTATGTTGAAATGCATTTTTATTACAAAATATATGGAAAATAATTGTAAAAATACATTTTCAAATATAATGTATGTCTTTTAAAAATACAAATCTACATTTTTGGAATGCATTTACAAATATATGTAAAATATATGTTAAAATTACTTTTTTATATGATAAAAAAAATCTGAGGACTATATTAAAAAAAAATATATATTTTTAAATATATTTTTCATATAGTTTGTAATATATAAAAACCCATTTCAACATGCAGTGTATGTATGTGTGTATGTATATGTATGTATGTATGTGTGTATGTGTGTGTATATATATATATATATATATATATATATATATATATATATATATATATGTATATATATTGCATGTTGAAATGTATTTTTATATATTACAAAATATATGAAAAATATTTTTAAAAATATATTTTTTTAAAATATATTCTTCAGATTTTTTTTAAGATATATTTTTACATCATTAAAAATGACAGGCAAAACATTTGTGTATACATGTAAAAAAATAAATACCTGTTTTCCCTTGATTATAGGTGATCACATTCCCTCTGTTCTCAGCTGCATAGGAGCTGGGGGTGGAGAAAAACGGCAGCACGCTGATATTCTCAGTGAAAGTGTGCGTGCGTGTGTGTCTCAGAACAAGTCTGATTATTGGAGGAAAACAGGCTGAGTTCCCAGCACAGCTAAAGAACCGACCACGGTGTGTTCTACTGTACTACTTTTTACCTCCATGTATTCTATGCATGAAGGTAAAAAAAACCTCTGCTGTCTGGGGACTCTTCCTCCTCATTGACTGAGATAGCATTGGGGGGCCCATTGGCTCTCGCTGCTGTCAATTGCAGCCAATGAGGAGAGAGCAGGGGGGCAGGGCTGGGCTATGGCTCTGTGTTTTATGGATGCATAGAGCAGTGGCTTGGGGAGGAGCATGCAACAGTGCCCCCAGCATAAGCGCCTTTCCCTGGGGGCACTGCTTGAAGGGGAGAATCTAGGAGTGCTGCTGGCGACCCGAAAAGAAGAGGATCAGGGCTGCTCTGTGCAAAATCACTGCACAGAGCAGGTAAGTATAGACATGTTTGCTATTTAAAAAAAAACAAAGCTTTAGTGTCACTTTAATTTGAAAGCCCAATGTTTGCAGAAAATTGTTTTACATTGTAGCTATGAAAAAGCTACTTTCTGATACAGCAAATTGTCTTCAGCTCTGACATTTGTCTTTGCCAGAGTGAACATTCCTTTTAGTAAAATGACAGATTTATCTTGCTGTGTAGATGGATCCGGGTTAGTGTATATTTCAATCTGCTGCATTATGTGTTAACAGGCAGCTGAACAGCAAAGTGGCAGCAGTAGCAATCAAGGACTCTGGAGCTCCTGCAATCAAAATTATCTGCTGCCAGATCTCTTACAACAGAGCCATCCTTCAGAGACTTCAGTGAATCAGCACAAAAGTCCTCAAAAGAGTCACAGGCCTGTGAACAAATCTTTAAATGATCAGGTGAAATCATTATGTTTTATGTCTTGTTCTGCTTGTTCCCCCAAACAAGAGCGAGAGAGAAAGATAACTTGTCTTTCACATGTTGGAGGTCACCTTTTGCACTTTGATACAATATTTTTCTCATAGACTTTTCTGTGAAGTAAATACTGTCATAACATCAAGTTCTTCTCTCTTCTCTCTCATGCTATCAGTTTGAGTGTACCAAAAAACTGCTGACAATGTTGAATTTTCATGAGAAAAATACAATTGCATGGAATAAAAAACTCACCAACTTTACCTCTACCTTTTTTCTTTTCTTACCAATTTCATGGCCATGCAGAAATTCAGTCAGCTATCGAAGGTGAATTTATTGCCTATCTGGTTCCTGAATACGTGTTTGGAATCTAGAAGTGTACCTTGTTAGCACTGTCAGTTGATCAGTTTTTTTTTAGCATTGTCAGTTGATCAGTTTTTTTTTTCATTGCTACTATATAGTGGTTTTTTATATACAGTCTTGTCAACAGTAAACAGATCCTTGTTTAATATTTTTTTTTTTCTTTGGTATACAATGGATTTTTTTTCTCTAAAAAGAGTAAATAATGTAAATAATCTGATTCTGCCTTCTATAATCTAACTAGCCAGATAGTTAACATTAGGATTTAAAAGAAGTGTGGTTTTATACATAAAGGGAATGTGGTGCATGAATTCTTTATTATGACAGGGATTTAACACTTTAACCATGTTTTCCCTTTTCCACGTATTTGTCTATAGCTTGTCAAAGGGCAGTTGTTTAAAGGCTCCATAGACAAAGTTGCAATTACACACATAATGTTATTAAACCTACATGCACATGCTTTAATTAATAGACATTTGCGTTTCCTTACTAATCAAAATTTGGATTACATTTTTGTTATTCGGAGATTTGGATGTAGCCAAATTTCTGAATCACAATAGTAACAAATTTCAATGAATCTGAGATAAATTATAATGAAAGGAATCCTTCAAATTTAAAAATTAATTTGAAAACGAATTGGGATTCAAAAATGTATTCAAACTGGAAATGGAAAAATATATTGCAATAAAGAGAGTAAGGTATAAAAGTGATGATATAAGGTGATGATTTCTACTGAGGCTGCTTTATAGAAAATAATAGAATAGAATAAAATAGAATTTAAAATAAAAAAAAAAGACTATAAAGGAATAGAATAGAATAAAACAGAATAGAATCGAAAATAAAAAGAGAATAGAAAAGACTATAATAAACTATAATATAAATAAAATACAATAGAATAAAATATAAAAGAATAGAATAGAAAATAAAAGAAATTGAATAATATAGAATAGAAAGTGTAAGAATAGAGTAGAAATTAAAAATACAGAACAGAGTAAAATAGAATAGAAAAAAATAGAATTAAAAAAAGAACAAACAAAGGCAAATTTCAAATCAATTTGAAAATAAATGTATGAAATGAATACGAATATATGAAACAAATTCCAAAAATTAATCATTTTAACATAACGTATATGATAAAATGAGATTATTAACTTAATGAACAGATATGAAATGAAACAAATGTTTCCATTGTGCACATCTCGATTAATACGTAGTGTATGGCATGATTAAATCAAGGTTAATATACTGGTGAATTAGAAGACTGGTAAATATCATTTTAGGTAATTTTCGAGTCAGTCAGGTGATCCTTTTCCAGTTCTTCAGTAAGTCTAGGCATGATATGTGGGCAGAGCTCTAGCGGTTATGTGATTGAAAAAAGAAAAACCTAATCTAAATGTAAATAGCATTATATAAATTGAACCATGTGAAAGCAATGCTATCCTTTATGTATGGACATGGACGTTAAGTATTGAATATATATTGTATATATCATGTATGAACACTACTGGGGTCATGCAGGGCGGCTCCAGGAACATGATTGACAGTGGAACAGTTCCTTGTTGTTCCATTATTTATCATTGCTGTCTATCAGAGTATGAGGGTGAAGTTCTAGCAGTCAAATGATTGATTAAAAAAAAGATCTAAATGTAAATATTATGTGAAGCAACCCCATTAAAGCAATGTTTCCTTTCACATAATGTTATATATATTTGGAGAATTTTTTTAATCAATCATGTGATCTCCAAAGCTCTGCCCACATATTTTAACTTTCAGCTATGATTGACATCACAGCATTTCTTCACTGCTCTGCTGTTATTGCCATCTATTTCAATACGTGGGTGGAGTTCTGGCAGTCACATGATCAATTAAAAACTGCTGCAAATGTAAATAACATTATGTCAAAAAAAGAACCATAATGGCTTTGCTTCACATAATATTTACATTAGGTCAGTTTTTAATCAGTAAATTGACTGCCAGAACGTCACCCACATATTCACATAGATGGCAATGATAAACAGTGGAGCAGTAAGTAAATGCTTTGTTGTCAATCACATTCATGGCGGCCCCCTATCAGGAGTGTCATGTGGGCAAGTTGTTGTGGAGGGAAAAACAGAATTCAGAGCATGCCACTGAGTGGCAACACAGAAGAATGAAGGGCTGCTCACAACAGCGTTGCCTTTCTGAATAGGGAAATTGCAAGATCAATGGGTAATTGCAGCCACAACATGACTTGTATAAATAAACAGTACATGTGATGAGATGTAATACTCTTAAATCTTAAGACAGAATTTCAGTTTTGGTTTAATGACACTTCCCAGGAGTGATTCTGTTGTACAGTTCAGCTCACGGACAGTGAGCTAAAGGGCAGGCAGCCACCTATGTGATGTTTCGTTAGCTAACCCATTGTGCTCTATGAATCCTTTTTCAAAAAGTTAGATTGAGCTAAAACCATTAAAAGTTACCTATAAAATGAACTTGTCACTCACTATAATATAAACTGACTGAACAAACAAGTAGCTGATAGAGGTATTCTTGCTTCCAGCCCCACACCAACCAGTGTCATGCCAAATCAGCTATACAGTTAGTGACTTTCTGAAAGTCACTGTCTGCATAAACCTCTCATATAACTCTTTCTACAGCAAGAGGTACAGAGAAATTAAGGCGGCTTTGGAATGGAGTTGGGAAATGGGGAAGACAAAGCCTAGATGCAAAGGTACCCACTCTCAGCTATTTACAAGTGCAGTCCCTATAGACATTTTGTAAGATCATAGGTGCTTTCAGTGTTGTATCTATTGTTGACAATTTACAGTTGCACAGATTTGATAATATATATTATGACAATTATACTTTAGTTATTATCTAGTGGTATGTTTTCTCTCCTCTTTTTCAGACATCAAATGGTGACAGTCCACAACAAAAAAATAGCTCGTCTTCCACTACTTCGTTCAGTCCATTTATTGATCCCAGACTGCTACAGTTTTCACCTCCAACAAGCCCAACTGTCTCCCGTGAGTATATGTTAAAGCATGTAAATCTCAACCAAAGACATTTACTGTATATTCAAGGGCCATTCACACTAGGAGCTGCATGTGAACTGCACAGGAATGCTGTGCGGTTCCTGTGCAATTCACACACTGTTCTGTGCAGTGCGCTTTCCGCCCCATTCATTTTGAATAGGTTGAAATTGCTCCGAACCAAAATTAATGCACGCACTACTTTTTGAAAAGCACTGCAAGCTGATTGCATGGTACTTTTGTACCATGCAATCTGGTGTGGGTTGCTACGGGGTGTCGCTTACTTTGCACTCACACCCGCAGCAGATTGCAAGGGCAGTGCGAGTGGAATGCAGTGCAGAAAGCAGCATGGGAATGTGGCTTTCCTGCACTGCATTCTAGTGTGAACACACCCTTAAGCATTTTTTATTTATGTTTTAAAACTGTGACTACTGTTCTGCTCATAGCTGGCCTTTGGTATATGAAAGGTGTATGTGTGTTGGGTGTTGTCATCATAGGATGCAAAGTGTGATTTTCCTATTATTTGATGGGAAAATGCAGTGAGCTTCCAGGTACATTCAGCCTGCATTTGAAATGTTTCCCAATTCTATTGGAATGCCTTTCCAGGTGCAGTTGACTTTGTAAGCTGGTTCAAGCTGCTTTTGCATGCCATTCAATTTGTATGGGGATAAAAGCTATTCTGCAGCAATTCAAGCACATGTACACAGGCCATTTATACAGTGGCTAAAATCTGCATCACCATGTTGGAAGCTTGTTCAGTTATCAGACAGATGCGTACAAGTGTTTGTAAAATATTTTACTCTCCTGCACTGTGAAGCTATGCTTGTAAGATGCCAAGTGTATTCACACTATTGACGTCCGATACGGGGTGGACTGACAACTCATGGGGCCCCCGGGCAATAGGGGATCATGGGGCCCCTGTGTCCTTGCCCAAACTCAAAAAAGCCTATGAAAAAGGTACCGGGGCATCTCATGGGGCCCCGTACTGACCCCAGGCCCTCGGGCAGTGCCAGAGTTTCCAAATGGTCAGTCCACCCCTGTGTCCGATTGATAGTTGACACCTGCCAATCAAAACTTGGAGGTACACACTGCTTGCTATTTTCTCTTCTAACTAAACATTAAAGCTGAACACCAGGAATTTAGCCACTTTGGAAAATGTTATGGATTACTAGATATTACATCCACCAAGGTGCCAGCTACTTCATAAACGTATCTCTTCAATTTACAATTTCAATTTTTTTTTCGGCAAGCCAGGAACATATTTCCAATGCTTATACACTGGAATCTTTGGTCTCAGCTCCAACAGCTGCAGAGTTGCATGCAGCTGCTGTACCTGCTCCTCCCCCTCCCCAATCACAGATGCTTTGGAGGAGATTTACTAAAACTGGTGCACTCAGAATCTGGTACAGCTGTCCATGGTAGCAGATCAGCTTCTAACTTCAATATGTTCAATTAAGCATTGGCAATAAAGCCTGGAAGCCGATTGGTTTCTTTGCAGAATCCAGATTTTGTACTCCCCAGTTTTAGTGTGTAAGAAGACAATGTTCTATCTGTCAGAGCTCCTGGAGTGTAGTGATAACTGTACTCCAGGAGCTCAATAAAACTGTCAGGTCCACGAGGTACAATGCACTTAACTCAAAGTATGCCAGCACATTTTACAGATTGCCTGAATTCCTGGAGTTCAGCTTTAAATCTGAACTCTAGGCATGGACATATATATTCTGAAATGTAGCTTTCACCTCTTCTTGATGAAATCTTCCAGGTTTTCCTATGAAACTTGCTTCAGTATGCAGTAAACGTCAGTAGAATGCTGCATCTAGAGTGTGGCGGATAGCCCATTTCCTGCACATATGACCAGTCCCTCCAGTTAGTTTTGAATGGCTGGGCAATCAGTTGTCTACACTCCTGCTTGCTATGTACTGGGAACTAGCATACCTAAGCTGCTAAATGATTGATGACTGCCAGGAAGAAGGACTGTAAAACCTGCAGCCTGGACTTCCTCTTACTCACTGAGCTGACAGTTTGCAGCACGTTTTCTGGCATTGCAGCCACTCTGGCTGTATCCGTCTCTCATATCAGCAGCTTAACTTCAGGTTGTATAGTATAGGGGGGGTGTAGTTACACCCAAACACTGCTCACCTTTACCCAGAACCAGCTCTGCTATGTCTGCCTCTATGCCTACCAGAGTGTCATGAAGTATACAGCCATGCTGCAGTCAAATGTGTCCTTGTGAAGTCAGGGGAGATGTCTTTCACCATCACTGCCTACACACCCACCCATTTTCACAAGCCTGTGCTGTCTCTACATGAACGAATTATGGGTAAAAAAGTGGTGGTAGGTGTTCTATCTAACTGGAAATTATATAGGAAGCCCTATTGATCCCACTTCTTGGCTGTCATGGGTAGAGGATTTTTCAGCCTCTTAGTCCCTCGATGATGATGTCACAGGGGCAAAGAGGAAGAATTACTCCAAGACAAGCTAAGTAATAAAAACACCAGTGGAGTGGAGAGGGATGTAGGAGGCTAATTTTAGGTGTTAACTGGAGTTCAACTTTAAAGACTCTTCGTCTCAGACATTTGACCGTTTTATGACCACTTTATGCCAGAAAGACTTGAGCTTAATCTCAGTAGAGGCTGTGAGTAGAGCCTAGGCCTAGAATCCAAAGGACTCTACATAGAGATTGATCTGAAGAATAACACAGGTACTTGCTGGTACTGAGGCTGCCTATACCTTGTGTACCCTTTAAACATTTATCAGTACTGTTTATGTGCTTTAAGGAAAGAGGGATATCAGTTGCTAAGAACAGTTATAAGACATTGTAGCTCAAACATCAAGTTGCAACTTTTACTTCTTCTGTTTTTTGACTGTAGACTGTGCTAGTTTAACATAAAAACCAAAGACTATCCTGTATCCCTAATTACCTTGCAAAATGTTATGCAAATAGGTCACATGAAAAATGAAAGAAAATTTAAAAGTAGTCTTATCTTGCAGAAATAAATATTTTATTTATCTATGCAAACCTTTGCATGTTTTCCGCCATGCAGTTTAAAAGCAGATTACTAATCTGCAAATTTAAATATGGTATCACACTATGATATTTTACCAGCAATTCCCTTGTAATATGCCTTTGTCTTTTTCTTGATTTAGCTAGCAGTATAAAAGTGGAGCCTTTCCGCAGAGAAAACGCAAGGAAAGGATCCGTTGTCAATGTTAATCCAACAAATATTCGACCTCAGAGTGACAGTCCCGAGATTCGCAAGTATAAGAAGAAATTTAATTCTGAGATCCTTTGTGCTGCTCTCTGGGGTGAGTTTTAATAGGTTACATGCAGTCCTACCTATGCTTTTCTTCAGCTATTTCCATTACAGCTACCGCTAAAATCTTATATTCATTATACATAGCATGTACATATACAATTGGGATGATTTACTAAACCCGGAGAGTGCAAAATCTGGTGCAGCTGTGCATGGTAGCCAATCAGCGTCTAACTTTATTTTGTTCAGTTAAGCTTTGACAACAAAACCTGGAAGCTGATTGGTTTCTATGAAGAGCTGCACCAGATTTTTAACTCTCCAGTTTCAGTAAATAACCCCCATATATGTCTTCTTTTTAAGCAGTAGCTGTCACTTTTGAAATGTTATTCATTAATTTTATACTAGTTATGAATTTTTCTAACACTGACAACAAATGCAATGTGCAGAGAGGGGTGTTTTTATACGGGTGGCTTGGCCCTCAGTATTTTAAGACATATTTTTTACATTGCTCTGTCCTGTATAAGACTCCATTCTAACCTCCCTTATTCTGTACGGAAAAAATACCTTTTTTCAACTACAAACCTTCAGCCAAAGTGCAGGGTTTGACCTAATCCCAAATTCAGGGATCAGGCAGGAAAGTGGTTTTGCATATAAAAACATGTAATTGCCCTCAGATGATTCTAATAGATAAGGCTACCATTTCCATGTTACAGAATAATGTGACAATTCTACACTGCTGCATGTAACAATTTTTCTATGTTTTAATATTCCAGGTGTTAACCTCTTGGTGGGAACTGAACATGGTCTATGGCTGCTGGATAGAAGTGGGCAAGGACGAGTTTATTCCCTTATTAGCAGAAGACGATTTTACCAAATGGATGTACTGGAAGGACTAAATATCTTGATTACAATTTCAGGTCAGATACATTTTCAATGTATAATTTGCTGCATCATTTAACCATGTGTGATATAGCCACATAGAAAAAATTATTTGACGCAGGAGGCTGTGAAATGTTAGTGTTTTGATGCATACAGTGTGTATACATACAGTCATGGCCAAAAATATTGGCATCCCTGCATTTCTGTCAGATAATGCAATACTTTGCCCAGAAAATTCTTGCAATTACAAATGTTTGGGCATTCTCGGGTTTATTTCTTTGTTTTTATTGGTATGACAATACCAATTGGACCGCTCTTCTATCGCCAACTGCCCAGGTCTCTCAGATCAAAAGGATTCCTGTTTCCAACTGCTGTTCTGAGATCTCTGCACAAGTTCTCTATGGGATTGATATGTGGACTCATTGCTGGCCAGTTCAGTACTCTCCAGTGTTTTGTCTGAAACCATTTATGGGTGTTTTTTGATGAGTGCTTTGGGTCATTGTCCTGCTGTAAGACTCATGAACTCTGACGGAGACCCCACTTTCTGACACTGGGCCCTACATTGCACCCCAGAATTCTTTGGTAATCTTCAGATTTTATAATGCCATGCACATGGTCAAGACATCCAGTGCCTAAAGCAACAAAGCAACCTAAAAACATCAGTGAACCTCCACCATGTTTGACTGTAAGGACTGTATTCTTTTCTTTAAAGGCCTCATTTCTTTTTCTGAAAACAGTAGAATGATGGGCTTTAGCAAAAAGCTGCAGTTTTGTTTTCTCTGTCCCCAGCACATTCTCCCAAAAGGATTTTAGCTTCCCCAGGTAAGTTTTGGTAAACTCCAATCTGGCTTTTTTGTTTCTGTGTCAGCAGTGGGGTCCTCCTGGGTCTCCTACCATAGCATTCCTTTTCATTCAGATGGCGACGTATAGTGCAAGCTGACACAGTTGTACCCGTTGCTTGAAGGTTCGCTTAAATTTGTCTGGAAGTTGATTAAGGTTCTTTATCCACTATTCGAACAATCCTTTGTTGCAATCTTTGACCAGTTTTTCTCTTTCATCCATGCCCAGGGAGATTAGCTAGAGTGCCATGGCCTGTAAACTTCTTGACAATAATCTCTGCAGATGAACTTGTAGCCTTGTATGCTTGTCCATGCTTTTCCACAATTTTTGCTCTCAAATCCTCAGACAATTATTTGCTGCTCTTTCTCTTCTCTGTGCTCCATGTGGCACACAAACACACACAACAGAAAGGTTGAGTAAATTTTCAATATTTTAAATGTTTGCCGGTATGATTTCTATATTGTCAGAACCTGTTAATTGATACAGGTGAGTTTAATTACAAATTACAGGAGCATCACAAACTTGGAATACAATTATTTCTTACAATTTGTAGAAGGTGCCAATAATTTTTGTCCAGTCGATTTTTGGGGTTTGTGTGGAATGTTTCAGTGTTGGCTGTTTTTTGTTTCTCCCCTTTTTTTGTCTTACCAATATATACAATATAAATAAACATGAGAATGCCTTGTAATTGCAACAATTTTCTGGGCCAAGTGGTGCATTATCTGACAGAAATGTATTTTTGGCCATGACTGTATATACACCAAAACAGTGAGCTCAATAAAGTAGTGAAAAAAATGTCATCCAAAAATATCCTTATACAACACAAGGAACAAAAACCATAGGAATATGTTCCTATGGTTTTTGTTCATTGTGTTATATAAGGACATTTTTGGATGAAAATTTTCCATTACTGCATTGCACTCACACTCCCCATTTGATTTTGTTCTACATGTTAGGGAGAGATTGGAGCCTGCCTAACTGATTGATGTACGTTATGTAAGGCAAAATTCGCAACTCCATTTTTGCACTTAGACTATATACAGTGTGTGTGTGTGTGTGTGTGTGTGTGTGTGTGTGTGTGTGTGTGTGTGCAAATATACATTACATTGCCAAAAGTATTGGGGTGCCTGCCTTTACATGCACATGAATTTTAATAGCATCCCAGTTTTAGTGCGTAGGCTTCAATATTGAGTTGGCCCACCCTTTACAGCTGTAACAACTTCAACTCTTCTGTGAAGGCTGTCCACATGGTTTAGGAGTATGTCTATAGGAATTTTTGACCATTCTTCAATAAGTGCATTTGTGAGGTCAGGCACTGATGTCGGACGAGAAGTCCTGTTTCGCAGTCTCCGCTCTAATTCATCCCAAAGGTGTTCTATTGGGTTGAGGTCAGGACTCTGTGCGGGAAACTGTTCCCACAAAGTTGGGAGCATGAAATTATCCAAAATATCTTGGTATGCTGATGCCTTAAGATTTTTCTTCACTGGAACTAAGGGGCCAAGCCCAACCCCTGAAAAATAACCCCACACCATAATCCCCCCCCACCAAACTTTACACTTGGCACAATGCAGTCAGGCAAATACTGTTTTCCTGGAAACTTCCAAACCCAGACACATCCAATGGACTGCCAGACAGAAAAGGTTGATTCATCACTCCTAAGAACACGTCTTCACTGCTTTAGGGTCCAGTGGCAGCGTGCTTTCCACCACTACATCTGACGCTTTCCATTGCACTTGGTGATATAAGGCTTGGATGCAACTGCTTGGCCATGGAAACCCATTCCATGAAGCTCTATACACACTGTTGCTGTGCTAATCTGAAGGCCACATGAAGCTTGAAGGTCTTTAGCTATTGACTCTGCAGACAGTTGGCAACTTTTGCGCACCGTGCGCTTCAGCACGTGCTGACCCCGCTCTGTCATTTTACGAGTTGTTGTTTCCAATTGCTTTCACTTTGTTATAACACCACCAACAGTTGACCGTGGAATATTTAATAGCAAGGAAATTTCACAGATGGACTTATTACATAGGTGGCAAGCTATCACGTTAATACGCTTGAATTCACTGAGCTCCTGAGAACGATCCATTCTTTCATAAATGCTTGTAGAAGCAGTCTGCATGCCTAGGTGGTTGATTTTATACACCTGTGGCCATGGAGATGATTGGAACACCTGAATCCAATGATTTGGAGGGGTGTCCCAATACTTTTGGCAATATAGTGTGTATGTATGTATGTATGTGTGTGTATGTGTGTGTGTGTGTGTATATGTGTGTATGTATGTATATATAAAAATCTCTTTAGCTATATCTCTTTTTCTATATGTGTAGTATTGTTGCCTTCTAAAAACTGTTAATGTACACATTTTTAGTGCCCACTGTATAAATCCAAAAGTCTGGACACAGAGAATATACTGGGTCTAATGGTGTAATCTCATGAGTGCTTAGCATTTGTTTTACTGCATACTTAGAGCAACAGAGCATGCATATTTTGACAGGGTTTAATGCTGTCTCTATACAAACAAGGAATGTAAAATTTCTCTATATACACCTTGGAACACCCCATCCAACAAAACATATCAGTAGAACCAGTATATTGATGTACTACCACTCCCAACATACACTAAAGGGAGTCCCACAAGGTGACACAAAATATAACAAAACATAAAATATACACAAAAGAATGTAAGTCCCAATTCCATATTGCTAAACAAAAATGAACCTGAATATAAACAATGCCCCCTAGGAGCTAGCACTGAGGATTGCTGACTGTGTAAAGAATAAGTTACAAACAGGCTGCTATGCATTGCAGCGTAATACATATAGAGTGGACCCTCTGATGGACTACAAGCTCATGAAAAGAGGAAAAAGCACAAGCATGGTACAATAAAAATTAGATGGTTATTAAGCACAAAAATAAAAAGGTGCATTCCCAGATACTGATTGTGGATTTGCATAAGCAAAGTCCGTACCCTAATCCTGCAAAATAATGCCACCGCACACATGCCTGGAAATGGCTGTTAGGTAAATGAGTGTTGCAGGGACTACTGATTGGAAACCAGAAACACTCAGAAACATAAATTGTCACTAGCACACCAAGGATCTCCTAAAAAGGGTCAAACACTTTATTTGACATCATATCACAGCTAAAACAGCAACATTTGGGGTCGCATAGAACCCCTTCATCAGGCTGGTGACCAGAGTTGAAGGGGTCCTGTGTGGATTCCAAAAATTGCTGTTCTAGATGTGATATGATAGTTAAAAAGAGCTTTGAACCCTTTTTTTGGAGATCCATGTTGTGCTGGTGACATATCCTTTATTTGTACCTTAATCCAGGTACACCCTCTGTAGGCATAGCCAGTGGTCCAATCCACTGGATAAAAGCATGGGGTACCAGGCACCTTTAATACTGCACACTTCATCCATCAGGGCAGAACATCAGCCACAGTGCATGGAGAGTGTTATCTGATCTTCTTCATGGACTGTGATTATGTTGGCCCATATCTGAATGGATGCAAAAGACCCTAAAAAAAATGAAAAACAGAAACACAAACCCTGACTCCAAGAACAATAAAAACAGCAGAGATACAACAGGTTGCTAAGGTGTTTCTTCAGTACAAATCAAAGTGAATACTCTTTTGTAATCAACACAATTGTATCAAAAATAGAATAATCCTTATTTTTTTAACTAACCCTTAGGGAAATAACCTTTAACATGCCCAACATGTTTTAAAAAGCAATAACAAAAAGAAAAACAAAACAAAATGGCCCAAAAGATTTATAATCCCAATCTATCAGAGACAATAATCTAATCAACTAAAACCTTTTGTCAGTAATGGACCCAAAAAGTATTGGTGTAAATTCAATCTATATACATAGTAGCTAAAGTGCATCCCAGCAGTCTAAAAATTTGTCATGAATGCAGTAGACCGCCGAATCATTATATATGTAATTTAGGTTCTGAAAAGAAACCTGGGAATTCTATACGTATAGCACAGTAGGCATAGGTATGCCTTGACATGCTCAATATACCCAAATATACAGTAGTAGTACAATATTAGGGATATACCAATACCGGATATTTTCACGAATACTCTTACTTGTGAAAATTATCCCAATACCTTAAACTGGTTGATTTAACCGTTATGGGGAATGGGCTTTGTAGGCCTGATATCATTCTACGTGATTCACAATCTTCTGT